CCCCTGCCAGCAGCTCCGCTCACCCCCTGCTCGCTACGCCGCAGAGTCAACGCTCCACTCCCCCTGACCTGCCAGCTACTTTCTACAGCACATTTTTCTTCCTTAGGTTTTGTCCTCCTCCATACTTCTGTGATGACAAAATGGGGTTGGAAGGGCCTTTAACAGGTCAGCTAGTCCCCTTCTGCTGCTCCAAGCCGGGCTCAACTATAATCTGAGAGGTCTTAATCTGACATGCCCTTAAAATCCTCCAGCAGCAAGGATGCCGTGACCTTCCCCAGCCAGCAGCTCTTGCTGGGGGAGACAGGGAAGGAGCAGAGAAGATCTGAGAGGGGAAAAATGAGCAAGAGCCTGCCAGGAGAGGTGAAGGAGACCTCGTGCTCTACCAGAGTCATGTCTCAGGGTGCCCTCAGTGCATGTCCCACCTGGACGTCCCTCCCCACCTCCATGCAATTTTACAGGCGTTTTTTCTTAGATATGCATGCGCTGATGTACACTTACAATTCGTTGCTCGCTGCCTCTGCTCATACGTATGCATTATATACACCTTCACCTAAGATCCCATTAGACCCCTATATGTACGTACATCTCAGACCGCATCCTTCCCTGCACCTCTGCTCAGCGCATATACGCACACACCTCTATGCCCGTCTTTTCCCTTTTACATATATTACATACATGTATTAAATGAGACTAGTACACATATATTAAATGAGAGATGGAGAGGGAACGAGAGGCAGTCTGAAGTCTGAGCAAGGCTTTTACAAGCAAGCACTCGAAACAATGACTTCTTGTTTTCCAAAGTGACTTAAGGACGTTGAGTTTTAACTGCTGCACGGACAGCGGGCCACCGTCCGGATTCTTTCAATGGAAGAAAGACACCCCCTGTTCTCAGCGAGACTGAGGGGTATGTAACCTTAGCAATTAAACTTAACTGCAGAATTTATGCATACTTTTTAGTCTTAGAAGAGCCGTGAAGTCAATAAATATCACGTTAATATTCTTTTGTCTCCAGGCAAAGCAGAACCCACTTTGCAGCACGCTGTCTTACATTTTATTAAAGGCAAATCTAGAGGTGGAGCCTGAACACATATAGGAAGACAAATGCAAATGTACTCAAGTCCACACAAATGTAGGAACAACCCATTTCAGTTATAAAATCAAATTCTGCCTCCTTCTGACCGGCTTGTACCTAAGTCCTTCCTCATCGTATTGAGCTGATCCTCCCTACTCTTAAACCAATGTATCTCCATCAAATTTAAGGGAACTACTCCTGATTTACACTCCTGATATATATAGGAAATTGATAATTAAACAACCTGTTCAATAATTAGCAGTAAGAAAGCAAAATATGAGAAGGTTCAAGCCTATCAGCTGATTGGTAATAAACTATATTAGGCTGAATTAACATTATACTTTTTCCTTTAGTAGAACCAATTGAGTCATTCACTGAAAATGCATTATAGACATTGGCATGTTTTCAAAAAAGATTTGAGTATTTTTCCCATTACCCAGCCAGCTCTCTCCTCTGCCCTGTGACTTTGCCAAGTATTGAAAACGTCTGTTTTCTTCTATTAAAAAAAGTAATGTGAGAGTAACACTGAGGTTTAAGGTGCTGTTTCAGATATACCTGATTTTGTACAAAATAAAGCATTAGGAACTAAGTATTTATCTCAGTAGCCCTAATTCAGGAATAATCATCATCGTCATCATCAAAATACAAACAAAGGAAACTACTACTATATACAAGTATTCCCCACGCCAAAACGAGCCCAGACAGGATTTGAGGGAGGTTTACTGCGTGCTCTCAGGGAACTGGGTGGTCCACAGATACTCAAAACACAACCACCACTATCCACAGCCCAACACTGAGTACGGGGATCCCTCCTCAACAACTGAATTCGGCTGTATTTACTCAGGACTAGCGACTGCAGGTACAGACAGTAAGGGCTGTAGAGAAAATACCATTATAAAAGCACCTGAACATCAGGAGTTGGGGAATGCACCCGTGTGAAGAGATTCAAAATGAGGTTGTCTTGGGATTTTGCAGACATGCAGGCATTACACGGAACAAAACTATTACTCCCTTCTTCCCTTAGTCTCTGTTTTGCTAAGAGAAGCCCAACAACAGGTCCACAGGTGATAGGTCCAAGATGATAAAACCCCCATGCACTTTCTGCCTTGCCCACACTGATTATAGCCCATCAATTCTGGGCATCCCAAGTCTCTGCAGTGGGAGCAGAGGATGCAGCAGTGTTCAGATGGCAGAAAGGAATATGAAACAGCCTCTGGGAACAGAGTTTCAATATGCAGCTTTTGAAAAAACGCCAGGAGAGAACCAGCTATTTTTCCATGCAGAAGCCTGAATGTGTTTATCTGCAGCTCAGACACAGAATGAATCATGGAAGCACATCCCCAGGCACGAAAAACTGAATCCCAAAGGATCTGCTGTTTGCCTGTGAAACACTAGCAGACTAAATGTCCAAAGAGGGCTTTAGGACACCAGCTGGAGCTGCAAGCAACAGACGGTTTCATTGCTCTTTCTGGGCACACATGCATGCATTTCCTGACTCTCAGAGACACCTTCCTGCAGACATTGACTTTGAAACTTGATGCGACTTAATGCAGAAACCTCTTTGGATAAGAAAAGGACAGTGCTGGACAAGCTGCGAGGCCAAGGAGGCTGGCATGCCCTCCATCACACGGGAAGGATGAGTGAGCCCAGCACCTATTCCCAGGCTCTTCCTTCCTCTCCCCCTGCACGGCAGCCTTGGCCGAGGAGTTACTAACCCCCTCCAGAGCCCGCGGTCCTGTCAGTGCCTGCCCACAAAACCAGGCATGGGGGCCTCCTTCTCAGAAGACATTTCAGAAATGTCTAATTCCGGCAGAGAGGCGCAGCAGAAGGCTTGCTAGAAACACTCGCCTCGGGAGCCGGTCGCTGCCTGGCTCCCATGCATCTCCTACCTTTCCACCATGGAAAAGTCCTTTTCTCTCCCTCAGCTTTTATTTTAACTTTTCTTGCCTTCCATTTCACAATAAAGAAAACACACTGACCTCTCAGGAAATCTTCCGCTATTTCAAAAGTTTGTACTTGTCAACCTCATTGGTAGCGATATAAATCAACATCTCTAGAGCAGAAGGAACCAGACGATTTTAACTTTCATTTCCTAGCAAATCTCTAGAGATTCATCTTCCCTCCGTATTGTTTTAACTTTGTCCTAAATTTTCAAGTTTCCATTTCTCTCCTTCCCTGCCCCCCAGCTTCTAGACTAAGTTCTGCCTTGCCGCTAAAACCAGATATCATTGCACATAGGAAAATACTTAGTAGAGTAATTCTAGCTTGCTTGGTGTATCATTAAGTACCTGTACATCATACTGAGCAATAACTGACACCAGGAAAGACGTGAAATACCCACTGAAGAACAAAAATAGCAGGAAACGAGCAATACTTTAAATTCAATTGTAACTAATTTCTTTAATAATCAGGAATGATACAACGATTTTTTAATTATTATTTTTAATGCAAATCTTAATTATTCTCCAGGAACTACCTGTTCCTGAAGATTTCCTGTAGGATAATTTTCACTGAAGGAATTTGTACACAGAACTGGAATTCAATGTTTATTCTGAGCAACTTTTAACTTTACAATTCTGTTTACGATGGAATTATCTAGTCACCTCTAATTCCTGAACCAGAAACTAAAGCAACAGTGGATTCACCCCCTCCACAAAAGCCACCTTTCAAGATCCTCCAATCTGCTTTCAAAAGGAGCATGAGGCATGGAGCACCAAGGAAAGGAATTTCCACTGTCTTCAACGCCCGTTGATGTAAAAAACCTCCATATACATAAAACTTGCACTAAAACCAACATCACTGCTTTGACAATCATCTTGCCAGACAATATTAAGAGCATACATATCAGTTTGCTTGCAAATTCCAGATTTTTTTTTTTAAATTTAAATTTTTGTGATCTGTGTATTTTCTTAGCTTTAGCTTTAAGGGAAGGTTTTACCATGTGGATGAGGAACACAAAGACCATTCTCCCAGGTATGCCGAAAGGAACAAGGTGACAACACTTGCATTTCTGCAATGATTTCTATAGGGATTTACCTTCTAACATTGTGAATGTGCTACACTGAGCCTTTTACCTTTACGGAATTGGTGACACCATATCAGGACAACATTTTTTCAACGAGGTCCAAAGTGACCTCGCTCACAGCAACAAGTGAGCAGTGCTATAGAGAACTACACTAAAGGATTACACCAGAAGAGGCTCCTACAACCACAGGACATTTTAAATGACTGAATAAATTAGCACTTTGTGGTGTAACAGCAACGCTGAATTCCTAGAGTGCACTTTTCCCCCAGCAATGTCCCAACTGGGGAAAGGAACGTGTGCCCCAAGAACATTTTCCAGCCCTTGGCACTGGGATGCCCTTCACCAGCAGAATTAACAGTGCTGGTAACAGCAAACTTTAATTATGCTTTAAAAATAACAGCAATGGCTTTGCATAAAAACCATCTCTTAACTAAAATGGAAGCAAAATTCCCACAAACATGTATGTGCCTAAGGTGAAAACACATCACCTTCATTTAAGTTATCCTTCCAGTTCTAATTCTACACAAGACACAAACAGAAAAACTCAAAAGTTCCCCACATCATCACAAACACATTTCCCTCCTGCTGTGCCTTCAACAACCAAACCGATGCAGAAGGGTGCAGGATTGAAGTTCAGAGTCATTTTAGGGCCACAAACTTTGATGGGACACCGGATACCCATCACCTGAGGAGGGCACTTCCCTCAGAAGAAGAATGCCAAAGAAGGAACGAACATGCTTATGTGTCAAATAACCAAAAACTTAAAAAGAAGAAGCTTTATAAGTGTGATAACATACAAAGGAAGAAACCTTAGTTTCAGTTAACTTAGAGACCTTCTCCACATACTACTTTTAGCTTAGGATGCTGCAAGTTGCACTGTGCCTTAGGTGGGCAGGGTTCATTCCAGAGAATCTTCTCCAGCGCTGGGGTAGAGCTACCGGAGCATCCCTCTGCCAGGGAGTAGGATAACGGAATTGATAATGCTGCCCCTTTAATTTCAAACCGCCTTCATTATTTTTATAACATTGGGCTGGTTTTAATCTCATGAATAATGTTCTCATCTTTAACTGAAAGCTGAATGGGATCTGTTCATCTCAAGATGAATCAAAAATCAAACCTCGTTTCCCCAGTTATGAAAAAACTTACACCTTCTGCCTACACTTAACAGTCTGAGCATTCACGTACAGCGGTGAATTGTAGATATAGGCAATGAGCAATTACGAAACATTTCCAGTTGCGATTACTCAGTCTCCCATTCTCAAAGCGAGCCCATTTCTTACTTTCTAACTCTGCAAAGCACAGCCTGTTCATCCAGACTTGAATGCCTGTCTAACTTCACATGTATTTGCAAGGTGCCAGCCAGTGTGGTTTCCGTATTCTGTCCCTAGACAGTTATATTTGTGGTAACAGGCTCAACATAAAAATGAGATGGGGCTGCCAACTCACACATGGGCACACTGAGATTTCCCATTTTGGGTCTTGGAATAACATAGCGCAGACTGCTTTATCCTGCATGTAGCTGCTCAGAGCTCAGTGAATTGTTCAGACAAGCAGATAGCCCACGTGTCCCACATCTTCTCCCTCATCTTCTCCCTCATCTGCTACAATGCAGTCCCAGCAGGAAAGATGGTGGCAAATTTTTATGCCATTTCTGCATCATCCAGGCTTCCCTGAACAGTGGCAAACCACGATGCTCAGTAACCAAGTTCATCATGTTTGCATTGCTGCAGCAGCAAAAAGAGCTGCAGTAAAGGTAAGTCCTACCTCCAACACAGAGGCTAGAACACTGATTTACCCATTGCCTCTTGCTTTTTCATATGGGGGGAGGAGGAAGAAACAATGTTAAAGCTAAAAACAATTGTGTGCATCAACCCCTAAAATCGCTAAGGGTTTTTTTTTTTTCATAACTTTACAAGCCACTGTTCCAGGGACAATCTAAACCTGGAAAATTTGAGCCCCAACACACTGACCCTTCAGAAGACACGTGCATTGCAAAATAGTCAGTAGGAACTAAAATTTTTTTGCGACTGCATCTAAGAAGGATGCAATCAATGCAAATATAATTCCATCTATAAACATTTAGTAACCAAAATTACACAAGATCTTCTTTGTCCACAACTTGTTCCAGTTGTCCTCCTCCACCAGCTGTTTTTCTTTCCTATGTCATGATTACAAAGTTCCCCGTCTTAAAATGAAGCAAAGAACGTATTCATCTACCACTCAAAGAAAAGGCAGCTTGTACGAGTCAATCCGTAGGCAAAACTGAGAGCTGTTTGGTGCTTTGCAGGCACTTTGTTAAAATTTCACTCAGATCAAACACTCTTAGTGGATCCTATTTGGGTTTGCTTTTGTTGTAAGGCTATTTACTTGCTTTTCAATACTTGACACTTAAGAAACCCTGTCCTCTTAACTCACCAAAGTACGATGGCCTAGATAAGGTACAGTTTTATTTAAGTATTTTAATTAGAAACAAACCCAGGAAAACCCCCCACCCCCCAGCTCCCTCATTAAGGGTCTGATCCAACTCCCATTAACGTCAAGAGATGATCTGCCACTGACGCACTCTAGTGCTGGCGTGGATCCCTAGATCACCAAAATTTAATTTCATCTACCAGTTATGTTATAGAAACCAGCTAAAACATGAAGAATTACTAAAAATCAAGCTAAAGTTGATTGTAACTATAGCTGTCATTAGCACCCTCGTATTTAAACATCTGCAGCCTGTACAGCCTGTGTTCGGAGCAGCAATGCGTGCACACATGCACACATACATGGACACTGAGTCACTTGCAGGAACAGACAGTATAACCCACAGTTTTGAAACTCAATTAGGAAAATACTAGTGGGAACTAACAAGAGCCACATTTTGTTATAAAATCTAAGCTTTGCTGAACAAAAACTAATTTAAGGAACTGATGACATCAGAAATACCGAAGTCAGATAATTATAGTGAATTCCATTTCAACCCAGGCATCCAGATATTCTTTATAAAGAAAAAGATCGTGGTTTTATATTAGGAGCCGAGGTTGTCAGGGGTACCAGGTCTTCTCCCAAGAATTATTAAGCAGTCATTTCACATGAGTAGTGTGTGTACAATATGTCTACATTTTTTAATGACTCATAGGGTGTCTACAGATTAAATACCATGGGATTCAATCCGCAACCAGCATCATTAACACGAAAGTTCAAAAATACTCAACAAAATTGAGCTGGTAGAGAAAGCAAGTCATGGTTACTTGTGTCACTAAAAAACAAAGGCTATACTGAATTAAAGCAAAATATTTTTATTCCTAAACAGTGCGAGTTAACAAATGCTAGGTGCAAATGAAATAGAACAACAATCATCTGAAAATATTTTTTTTCTGTGTTCTCGACTCTGAAATAAGGGCATGAAGCAAAAATGATAAAAAAGGAAGCCACACGATCATGCAGAAACCCACTGTCTCAGCTAAGAAAAGAGAAGGGGAAAAAAAAAGGGAGAGGGAAAGGAAATGCTCTTCCAGGAGTTCAGATCCCTAAGTTGGGCTGTGTTTTGCAGTCCCCCTGGCTGCTTTCCGATTTCCATGCACTTTGCCAGGAAACTGCTGAAGCTCCAAAAAGCTGTTCAGAGACAGGACATTCCCAGACTGCCACCGTGCCATTTGGTGGAGCAGTTGCTAATTTTAGTTTAGAGGAGGAACACACTGGGACAATTAGCCAAGAGCCACTCCTGGCTCTTGCTCCAACCCATCTTCAGACAAAGCTCACACCCAAACAGTAAGACCAACAGCAACGCCCTTCAAACACAAACAAAAAACACAGGCAAAGGAGGATCCACCATGCCTTTTTTGGCAGAATACATCTTTCAGGGGACACGTGCATTTCAACCCCAAAAGCGACCACTGGAAACGGAACCCCTTTGCCGAACGGCACCTTACGCAGAAGACCCACCTGCAGGCGGTGAAGGTTGCAAAACGGGAGAGGACCATTTAACGGCAGAGGACAGGGAAGATGCCCCGAGAGTGCTCTCCGAAAGGGTACCTGACTGCATGCCACAGGAGATTATCTGGTTGCAGGGATAATAATATTTGGCACGAAATGGTTTGATGGCGCTCAAAGCCATCTCCATGCTGAAGGGCAAGAGCTCTTCCACCTGTTCCCCCTCTTTGCACCGTCCAGCTTGGGGGACAGGTACAGCGAGGAACAGACCGACCCGTTAGAGATGGGGAAAGGAACCTGTAAATAAGCGTGCACAAACATCATACCTTTAACAACACAACATCTACAGTCCTGTCCACCTTGGAAATGTCGCACAGGCTGTATCGCCTCTTATGGCGTTCGTACATTTTGTCCAAAAAGCCGGGAGCGGAGGAGCAGAGCCCACCATGAACCCCGGGCTGCCCGCGGCCAGGCGCGCTCCAGACCTCTCACATACGTGCTCAGGAGTCCCCGTGTCTCAGCACAGCAGCCTGTCCAAGCCTCTTAACAGGAAAAAGAAGATCCCAGAGCTGCGACCAGCTGATAAAGTCTTCTCGGAACAGATTTGCTTATACAGGCGACGCAGGAACTTATAGCAAACAAAAGGTATTTGAAGAGAGCTTTATACATGCAGGATTTTTTTTTTTTTTTTTTTTTGCAACCGCTAAGAATGGTATCAGCCTTCCTGTTTTAGTAGTAATAATAATAAAAAAATGTTTTCCAGACAACTTTGATATCCAAAAAGCACCAGAATGAAAATCCTGCCCGAAAAGAGAACAAAAGCCAGATGTGTGCAGCAGGAACCCTGACGCTCTGAGAGGGAAGGCAGAAGGTAGGCTCAGCCACGACGGGTCTAATTCAGGAAAAAAAGAAAAAGAAAAAAAAAAGCGCCGATCACCGTATCCAGCGTAAATACTGTCACCAACGTGTTTTTTCTTTCGCGCCCTCGTGCACTGAAAGAAACGATCAAAAAAGGTACTTTCCTCCTTTCGAGTCAGTCCACTGTGCACCAGACAGGAGGGCTCGTTTGCGTTAAGTTTAAATTTCTAATGACAGCACAGGGCAAAAGGAAAGAAAATAATGAAATAAAGCCACTCCCTCCTGATTTGGGCTGGGACGTCACTACTTGCCTTTTTAGTCCTGCACCAGTGTTCTCCCAGCTTTCAAAATGTCTTTGCAGTTGTGGGAGCGTGATTCATCTCTTCAGATGGGGCGGGGGGGGAAGGGGG